AAGGCGCCAAACCAGGGCCTTCAAAATAACAAGGAACAGTAAAACCAGGCTTTCCCTTCACTTCGAAGGAAATGTAAATCATTGGGTCCAAATCTCTACCTTCCAGATTTAAAAAACCTGGAGTTCAATGCACAAAAGGAAACCAAAATCTATCAGGAATGAAGCATAGTAACCCCTCATATACTCAAGGTCAAGATGGTTTTTGAGAAATAAGTATCTGACCCTCTGGCCTCTTCTATTAGGAATGGCCCCACTCCAGCATATTTAAAGGAAGATGATTTTGCTTCTACTTCATTTTCCCAAAGGAGTATAAAATCTACTAAGAGTGATATAATGAATCAGAATAAATTAGCTCACTCACAAGAAACATTCCTGGATAATGGTTTTTGGCTGCTGAGAATATTCAGCACATTATTTCAAAGAAGCAAAATTCAGGGCAATCTGAGAAAAGAGAATTCAAAAGTGGAAGCTACATTCGCTGACAGGTTTATGTAGGACACACATTACAGACAACCCCCATTTTCTTCAGTGTATACTGTCAAGGGGCCAAGACCCCTGATTATCAAAANAGACAACCCCCATTTTCTTCAGTGTATACTGTCAAGGGGCCAAGACCCCTGATTATCAAAATAAGTTACTTTGTACATTACAGTGCACAGAACAACAGAGGGAAAGCGCTTTCCTGGGGGGTGGCTGAAAGGCATTTTGCAAAAGGTCCATATCACTGTGAGGAGGAAGGCCTGGAGCCCAGTGCCCTCTGCTTTCATTAGCTTGACCCCTCCTCCTCCTCTTTGGTTGCAGCGGCCTCAGGGGGCGCCGTTTCCTCTACTCGTTCTGCTGGCTTCTCCTCCTCTTCCTCCTCATCCTCCTGGGGGTAGAGGTCTGGGTATTTCTGCATGCATTCCTGCATGGCCCGGAACTGGTCTACACAATCTGAGCCCTTGACATCCTCCGTGCTATAGTGGAAGCAGGAAAAGGCTGACTTGAATTGTTCCCCACAGGGGCCACTGGCCATACCCCCAAGGCACGGGCAGTTCCAGTTAATGTCTCCATTTGGCAGTATCAATCCTGGAACAGGAAAACAGGCAAGGAAAATGTGAGAGATATTCTCTAAGGTTTCAGAAAATGCAAAACCAGTCCAGTCCTCACAGGCCACCCAGGTAGTAAGGAACAGTATAAACTGTTGCCTGGTGGGCACTCACTTGTGGACTTACCTCTTGATCTGGATCAGGTTCAAATGCCTAGCTCAAATCCAGCATCTCTTGGCCCAGCTGGAGAGAAGCTACCATCAGCACCTTTCTCCATGTGTGACACTGATCTATATGCTAAGCCACCTCCCAATGCTGTGAGTCTGTGCTCCAAGAATTAAATACTAGGAACCATTTAAACCCGAGAAGAAGCAATCACTTGTATGGTAAGCGAGGGGCTTTTTCAAAGTCCAAACACTTTTAGGAGCTGAGGTGTTGATCTACTCCTTCCAACCCCTGCTATCCACTCCCATACAGATGATCGGGACAAGACCACCCCCTGATGCTCCCTGCTCCTTGAGCCCCTCTTGCCCTGCAGCTGCTTTCAGAAGCTCAGCACAGTCTAGAAACTGGTAAAAAGGAGGTGGTTGATCCTTAGGCACTGACATGGAAAGATGTCTATATTAGTCTGTTTTGTGTTATAACAGAATACCTGAGACTGGATAATTTATAAAGAATAGAAGTTTATTTGGTTTACGATTTGGGGACAGTTGTATCTGGTGTGGGCCTCAGGCTGTTTTTGTTTATGGCAAAAAAAGGCAGCCAGCTGAGGGTACAAGCAAATCACGTGAGAGGAAGCAAGAGAGAGTAGAGAGAGAAAGAGTAGAGAGAGAAAAGGACTGTCCTCTTTTTAAAAAGCCTTTAGAACCATGCCTCTGGCCATTATTTTTAATTTATTTACCATTATATGGTCTTGTAAGATAATCACCTCTTTAATGTTTTACCTTTTAATTATTATAATAGGAGTTTT